GGAATTCTTGAGAGCATCTCTGCCAGTTGCAGAACATGTGGCTAAGTGTTCAACTCGATGGTACGTGGGACACAAGTTGGGTCCTGGGTCCCCTGACCCAACTTGGGCTAACTCTAATATTCCCAAGTAATATGGGGGAACTGACGTTCATTCCTTGTGGGGGCCAAATTTAGCTTGCAAGCCAGGAGTAGGGGGAAGAAAGGTTTCAGCCTTTCCTCCCATGCCATTTTACTGAGCTGAAATGGCCCTCAGGGGCTCTATTTGCCCCACTGTGCAATGCTATATGCTGCAGTCAGTACACATGGAGCCCCATAGTAGGGCAAAGAGGCCCCCCCACAGCTGTTCCAGCTCAGGCTGAAGACCCCCCCACCATGCTCACAATCTGAAATTCAGCCCCACAGTGCTTGGGGACATTAGTTTCCCTGATGTTAGGGTGACCTTGAGTGAGTCAGCCTTGGGGATCCAGGACCAGCCCAATACAATTTAAATGAACAAATGGTTTTGGGGTTTTTTACAATAAACTGCAGCCTTGATCTAGGACCAGCCCAATGGATGCAGGATGTAATTTACTGTACTTTGCTTTCTACTGTCTGTTCTTTTAAATTGCAGTAGGATGTAGTTTATTGTACTTTGCTTTCTACTGGGTGTTCTTCTAAATTGTGTTTTATATTGCACTTTGGGTTCCTGTTGGGGAGAAAGGTTGGGCATAACTGAAGAAAATAAACAAACGGCTCTGAAATGCAAGGGTGGCAGGCAGCAGATGTGCGACATTTCCATGTGGGGCATGAGGTGATACAAGATGAGCGGCCCACCGGATGCCAATGGCTCTAGTTCATGAAAAGTTCCCATGAATCTGTTAGTCTTTCAGGTACCCCTTCAACAATTTTTCTGTCTTTTATTGGCAGTACCTTTCTCTGCGTGGTCTTTGCAGCTGGGCAGTGCAGATGAAACAGATACTTATTAGAAGAGAAGAAGAAGAAGAGGAGATTGGATTTATACCCCGCCCTTCACTCGGAGTCTCAGAGCGGCTTACAAACTCCTTTCCCTTCCCCTCCCCACAACAAACACCCTGTGAGGTGGGCGGGGCTGAGAGAGCTCTGACACAAACTGCTCTTTTTCAAGGGCAGCTGTGCCAGAGCTTGTGACTGACCCAAGGTCACATCAGCAGGTGCAAGTGGAGGAGTGGGGAATCAAACCCGGTTCTCCCAGATTAGAGTCCACGCACTTAACCACTACACCAAACTGAAAACCCGGCTGGATCGCCGTAAGTCAGTTGTGACTTGATAGCGCCCTTGACCATATGTTATTGGAGGACAAGCGACTAGTCCCCCTTCAAAACAGCTGTTGGGATGTGTTCAAAGTTTAAGAACATAAGAACATAAGAGATGCCAATGTTGGATCAGGCCAAAGGCCCATCCAGTCCAACACTCTGTATCACACAGTGGCCAGCTTTTCACCACACACCACGCACAGTGGAGTTGGTTTCTTTGCATCTCCGGTGAAAGTAAATCCAAATGAAATATAGCTTTCGCTATATTGCCTTGTGCCAGAGAATTTGCTTGAGCTAACCATCTTTGCTTTCTTTTGATCCCCACTCATACTTGGGCTCTCATCTGGCTCCGAATTTTGTTCAGAGTCCAGTTCTTTCCTTTTCAAAAACTTGTCCATCACTGCAGTATCTGCTCCTGTCTCACTGTCACTCAGTACTTACTGCGCTTGTCTCCTCCAAATAGCCGCTCAGTCAGTGCTCTTCTGCTCATGTCTCCTCCAGATCCATCACTCAGCGCTCTTCTGTGCTGCGTCCGCGATAATCCTCCATTGTCCAGATCCATCGGCGCTTTTCTGTGCATCGGCGATCTACTGCGATGTCTCCTCCTGTCAGTGTAACAGTGACACCGGAGCCATTTATAGTCCGTAACATTCTAATGATTAGAATCTAATGATTGGTCATTTTTTTTTGAGCCGAAGCCGCATGTTACGGATGAAATCGGAATTTTCCCCACGGCACACCAGACAATATCTCACGGCACAGTGGTTGAAAAACGCTGTCTTAAGGAGATTGGCTAAACTGCAATGAAGAATTATATCTGAGTTGTTATTATTAACACCAGACAATATCTCACGGCACAGTGGCACAGCTGTCTTAAGGAGATTGGCTAAACTGCAATGAAGAATTATATCTGAGTTGTTATTATTAAATTATTGTTGTTATTGTTATTAAATGCTGTTGTTAAATAATTGTTGCTTTTACTATTAGGGTTAGGTAGTCTTTTGCCATGGTCACTGGGTGTACCACACTATATTTGTTAAAATACAAGTAAAGGGAAATTGAGCTAGGAATGTGACTTATTTTAATGTTATCCTATGGTTTTGTTATCTTAATATATTTTAATAACAAATTAAGTTTCTTCCTAAATTCTGCCTAATTGTGGTTGTTCCTGTACCCCCAACACCCACACATGCACTGCATGCTTTTGCCCCTTTGTGCTGGTGGTGGTATATTGGTGAAAGGATTCTACTGGTGATAGCCTCCTACCAGCTCAAAGGAGTTGCTATGTTGTGTCAGCGACACCCACTTGATAAAATCACAACACAAATTGTTGCATGTGAATATGACTTGTTTTAATCCTAAAATAACAATATAAAATATAGGCAATACCTGTTTGGCCGAGCGCCGAAGAATAGATGCTTTTGAATTATGGTGCTGGAGAAGACTCTTGAGAGTCCCTTGGACTGCTAGAAGATCAAATCAGTCAATCCTAAAAGAAACCCTGACTGTTCCCTGGAAGGCCAGATGCTGAAGCTGAAGCTCAAATACTTTGGCCACCAAATAAGAAGGGAGCACTCACTGGAGAAGACCCTGATGCTGGGAAAGATTGAAGGACAAAGAAGTAGGGGATGGCAAAGGATGAGATGGTTGGACAGTGTTATCGATGCAACGAACATGAAATCAAGCAAACTCCGGAGGACAGTGGAAGACAGGAGGGCCTGGTGTGATGTGGTCCATGGGGTCGCAAAGAGCCAGACTCAACTGTGTGACTGAACAACAACAATACCTGTTCATTCTCATAAATGGAGACGAATGGTTATCCACAGTTATAAATACCTATGGGGTTTTACATGGTATTTTTTCATGTGGGCTTCTTTCCGTGTGGGCTTTTTTATGCATGGGCTTTTTTCCGTGTGGGCAGTTTTCCATGTTGGCAGTTTTCATGTGAGCATTTATGACTGGGGTTTTTTCTGTGGGCTTTTTTCCTGTGAGCTTTTTTCCCGGTTACCGGTTTTTCAATTCATTTGGTTGTTTTATGGCATTTTAATGCCATTTAACATGTATATGCAGTTTAATGTTAACATTAAAGCTACTATTTGTAAATGACAGCTAATGACTGGCACATCTATTAAGGCCAGTTACATACGCTCAGCAGAAACAATTGATAAAGCCACTTCAGCTGCACATGGAAAACTGCATGTTTACCTGACAAACAAAAATAATTCCTCCTTGTAATTCCTCCTTGTTTCTGGGTCTGCAGATAAACTAACAGAATGAGGAATGGTACTACGCAGACACAGAAATTTGGAGTGCTATTTGCCAGTATGGTGCCATCTAACGATCAGCTGTAAAAACAAAACAAAACAAAAAAACCCAATCCATTTGAAGGAGCCCACCTTCAGCACCCCTTTCTCCCCCCTTGCCTCATAATGCCTACAAAGTAATCCCACTGCCCCCTAGTGGACACTATCATGCACTTTGTGAACCACTGTCCTAACCCTAGAACAAACTAAGATCATGTGATCTTAGGGCATGTCTACAAACTTTATTTATTGATTGTTTTATACTGTTTTAACTGTTTGTTATGGCATTTGCCGCTGTTGGAAGCCGCCCTGAGCCCATCTTGTAAGGGCAGGATATAAATCTAATTAAAAATAAATAATAAATAAATAAACTATCAGTTCCCAAACACTGCAAAATATAAGGGAATATCTCTATATTGTCAATCTCATCACAACACTCCCTAAACAAAATGGAATGCCAGGCAGAAGGCGAAGCAAAACCTTTTTATCTGACATACTAATTTTGTGTGTACACTACAGAGGGTTTGTTTTTTTAAAGATGCCATGTTGCTCTTAAGAGTGTATTAATTACATGCAGCCTGAAGTGCTACATCCCATCTAGTTTAATTGTGAGGCTAGTGGGCAAAAAAGGCATGATTTTTCATGTGCCCAGTATCTAATTTAAACTGGGCAGTCCTGCATGCCTGCCAAACGCCTGTTCAGGTTACAGATCTCTAAAGTATACATGGATAGCAGCTGAGGGCACTTTGCATGAGATACTGAGCGCCAGAAAAGCATAACCTGTTGATCCTGCTGATCGAGCAGAAATAGGTGAAGCAGCTCCATGCTTTCTCCTCCCAGTGTTCTTCCTGTCCCTAATGAAAAAGACCTAAAGAATGATAAAATTCAAAGACTAACAGAGGAGTGACTGCTTAAACTTTTCTTTTTCTCCTGTGTGTGTTCCCGACCATGAAGGGAAAGGTATGGAGACCCTGTGTTTTCTCTTGCAGGTAGGGTTGTGAACTCTGGGTTGGGAGATTTGGGGATGGAACGGGGGGGGGGGCTCAGCACAAATTAATGCCATGGAGTCCACCCTCCAAAGCTGCCATAGCTCCAGAGGAAATGATCTATTCCATCTGGAAATTAGTTATAATTCCAGGAGATCTCCAGGACCCACTTGGAAGTTGACAACCCTACCTACAGGTGGTGGGTGGACTAGAAACAGCAAAGGACTTTTTAAATGGAAAAATGACCCGGGGGGGGGGTTGAAGAACTGTCTCCTCATTCCTATTTATTTGTTCACAAGTGCAGATACGTGAGGCTGCTTTTTAGCTGAAATAGAAAGAATAGTCAGAAGTACTCAAAAACAGATGAAACTTGGGACAGCTTCATCCTTTGAAGTTTTTTCCTTCTTTTTTCCCTATGCGCCTCTTTACCCCTCCTTTCAGAACATTTCCAATAATCATCTTGACACAGAAGGAGCCGAAGCCATCTGCAGGATGTTCCTCGATAACATTTCCAATATCCGGGCCATTAAGCTTGCAGGTGGGCTTCCCGCACTGATGAACAGAGGCTAGGTGGGAGGAGCCCCAAAACAATGCTCATATTTTTGAATGCCCAGAAAGATTTTGAAGTGTGTTTGATTAGCTTTCAGAAGTTAGAATAAATGAATCTGTACATTTGCCATAGCTGAGGCCTGCACAACTCACAACGGGCACAGAATGACTGTGGCACCAGAAGGTTTTTGGGTTTGGGGTTTTTGTTTTGTTTTGTTGGCTGTATTGTAGGTCTGAAACAAAACTGGGATGTGTAGCCCCTTAGGAGGAGGGATTGGGTTCCACAACTACTGATTTGACTGCCATCAATGAGAGACAACTGTGGGAGCAGCTGGAACAAGCGAAGGGACAGAAATACTAGAGTTACGTTTGCCCTGTAATTTACATTTTGATTAGGGAAATCCATTCATTTCTGCCTGATCTGGCTGTCAGGGAATAACAAAAAAGTGATGTGATATGGTGGGTGGGGCCAGCTGTGTTTGGTGGGGCATGTTGTAAACATGGCAGTGCACAGGCACATGCGGTGAGTCTCCCACCAGCTGCCAGCCATGAGCTGGCAACCGTATTTACCCAGCCACTGTATGGCATTAGCCATGGATGACGCAAGGAACTTTATAAGTATCCTGTTTTCTCCTCTTCCCAA